ATGTATTGAGCACTGGGCAGACGTCAGGAGTTTGTATGGGTCCGTCCCTCACGATTGCCTTAATGCGTTTGAAGCGTCTCGAGCGGGGTTTGCGTGTTTTGTTAACTCTGACCTCTGACCAGTTGTTTCTAGACTGTGGAACACTGTCGCGGAGAAATTTCATTTTATTTTTGTCTTGTTGACTTTATTTGTCAGGGCCATATTATAGGTGTCTATAATATTATGGGCTTCATCAAGATCGGCCTGGGACATGATATCGTTGAGGGATGATTCTAAGGACTTGATCTCACTCTTCAATTGTCCTAACTTGTGGATATCCCAAGAAAGACAGAGTGACATCAATTGTTTAGAACATCTCCTTGTAATAACGTCCCAGCGTTCCTGAAAGCGTTTGGAGATTAGAACATCAAAAATCAATAAAAACTGAACACCGGGTCTCCAATTTACAGACCTACTTAGAGTGTGACATTATTCCGAAAGGCTTTCAGATAAATGTTACACCTAACATAGGGCCAATCTCCAAACGCTTTCAGGAACGCTGGGACGTTATTACAAGGAGATGTTCTAAACAATTGATGTCACTCTGTCTTTCTTGGGATATCCACAAGTTAGGACAATTGAAGAGTGAGATCAAGTCCTTAGAATCATCCCTCAACGATATCATGTCCCAGGCCGATCTTGATGAAGCCCATAATATTATAGACACCTATAATATGGCCCTGACAAATAAAGTCAACAAGACAAAAAAAAAAGAAATTTCTCCGCGACAGTGTTCCACAGTCTAGGAACAACTGGTCAGAGGTCAGAGTTAACAAAACACGCAAACCCCGCTCGAGACGCTTCAAACGCATTAAGGCAATCGTGAGGGACGGACCCATACAAACTCCTGACGTCTGCCCAGTGCTCAATACATCTAGTGCTCCTCTCTCCGAATCGGAGACCTCACTTCTTTCCAAGGGGCTAAATTTCTGCCCCACGCCACATGAGGTCGACGAAAAACAAGTCAGAGAGGACACCCGAGCATTCTTCCGGAGACTACGTTTGAAGGAGCACTTCTCTAGAAAAGACTCCGAAGTAAATTCATACGACTCTTCCAAGCCAGATTTACACGATCTAGAGGAACACAAACTCTATAAGCCCAAGAGTGACTGGGAACCTGCACCGGGCAAGTGCGGCGCGCTTGAGTCGTATATTGACGCCGTTGAGTCAGACATAGAGAAGCTCCTTTCAATGCCAGACAAGACTCCCGACAATTTGAGTAAGGAAGAGAGATCTGCCTTACAATCATTAAAAAATCGGGATGACATTGTAATCAAGAAAGCAGACAAAGGCTCTACAGTTGTAGTAATGGATAAAGAGACTTACATGGCGGAAGCCCAAAGACAACTCTCAGACGAACGTTTCTATAAGAAACTGGACTCTGACCCTACTAAAGAATTCTCCACCGCCATTACCAAAACTCTTGACGATATGTTTGAGAAAAATGAGATTGGTATCAACGTCTATGAGACCTTAAATCCTATTGACTGTAGACCAGGACAATTTTATCTGCTTCCTAAAATACACAAAGAAGGCATGCCAGGTCGCCCCATAGTCAGCGCAATTGGACACCCCACGGAGAAAATTTCTGAATTCATTGATTTACATCTCCGTCCACACGTAGAGAATTTGCCATCCTATCTCAAGGACACCACGGACTACATTAACAAGACGCCCTCTACTGGCCTCCCAAATCATACCCTCCTCGTGACTATGGACGTCACATCTTTGTACACCAATATTCCACACGATGAGGGTATCGAAGCCTGTAGAGAAGTCTGGGATAGTAGGTCCACACAAATTCCTTCTACAGAGTCCCTTGCTAAGCTCCTTGAACATGTTCTCAAGTTCAACAACTTCATGTTTAATGGAGAACATTACCTGCAGGTTAATGGCACTGCTATGGGTACGAAAATGGCACCGTCTTATGCCAATGTCTTCATGGGCAGACTGGAACGCAACTTGTTACTTCAAGCACCATTTAGGCCCCATAGCTGGTTGCGTTTCATAGACGATATAGAGATGAAGTGGGTGGAATGTCGCGAGAGCCTCGAGGCATTCATTACGTTTGCCAACACCTTTCATCAATCGATCAAATTTACAGTAGACGTATCTAATTCGAAAAACGTATTCCTAGATACTACATCTACCCTGATTGATGGTGAAATCGAATTCAGTCTCCACACCAAACCCACAGACTCCCACCTATATCTTATGCCCTCTAGCTGTCATCCCCCACACACTTTTAAGGGAGTGCCTAAGGGTCTAGCCACCAGAATTCGACGCATCTGTTCGTCCCCTGCCTTATATCAGGAGCAAAGTGGTCTTCTTAAGTCCCACTTATGCAAAAGAGGCTACAATGCCCGCACCGTACAAACAGCTATTGATGAGATGGCGGGACATGACAGGCAAAACCTATTACGCTACAAGGAGAAAGACAATAGCGGCAGGGTCCCTCTGGTAACCACATACCATCCCGTCCTTAAGAACCTTAGCGGTATCCTTCAAAAGAACCTACCAATTCTCCATTCAAACAAACGAATGGCAGAGGTCTTTAAGGAACCCCCATTGGCTGCATACAGACGCCCAAGGAACCTAAAGGACATGGTAGTAAGAACCAGACTGGACAACCCATTACCTAACGGGGGCTTTAAAACTTGCTCTGACAGAAGATGTCTTCTTTGCAAGCACAGCACTGACACAGACAGTTTTAACAGCCCTGTTACAGGCCGCAGCTACAAAATACTAGGGAATTTGTCCTGTCATACTGACAACTGCATTTATCTCATCAGTTGCAAAGTTTGCTCCAAACAGTATATTGGTGAAACAGGAGATCTCCGCAGGAGAGTCAATAACCACCGTTCGACCATTAGGACCAAAAAACTCAATGAACCCGTTGGGGAACATTTCAACCTTGAGGGTCACAAATGGGAGGACATGACAGTAGTGGTGATTGACCATAACCCAAGATGGACAGATGCTCAGAGAAAAAGCAAAGAAAAGTTCTGGATGCACAGATTGAAGTCATTCCGCCCTAATGGTATTAACAAACTGAATGACTTCACCAGAATGAACGTAAACTAGACCCAATTCCTGATGATACTAAACAAGATTATTCTCTCAATTTAGTGTAAACTCTACAGTTAATTTGCGTCACCAACTCTCGAACAACTCTCATAACTATGTATTGCTTACACCTTTGTTAATTATTTTTTCCCGGTAATAAGTCCTTAAATATTTCAAAATTTATAATTGATCATAATTCATATGTTTAAATATCCCTGCTATATTATTTTTCTTCGATTATTCTTTATTAAGTAAAGTTACGCCATTTTGAGAGAATGAAACAATGTACGATTTACTGATTGTCGTAATTAATTAGCATAATTAATTCGTTCAATTATGTAAATCGCACTTCGCCCGAGTATACCCGATAGACCGGACGCATTTCATAGCGGTCCGGATTTCTTTCTTTATTAGTGTTTTTAAAAATTTCCAATTCATCATGTAATTAAGTATGTAAATATCTAGTGTTTAGTAGTTTAGTAGTAGTGCTAGTTGTTTTTGTTTCTCTTTTTCCTTTGTTCTTATGACTTTTTAACTTTTTTCTTTGTCCTGAGGAAGGGACAGGGCGTCCCGAAAATTTGACAATTTCTATTGTTCGTGTCGTTGGTCATTTTTAGTGCTTTATATAAATTTCCATCCGTGACCTTGTATCTACTTGGTAGATCCGACATTTAGGATATACAGTGTTGTTGGTTTTTTAGTGCTTTTTATATATATATATATATATATATATATATATATATATATATATATATATAATATATATATATATAATGTCCAACGTCCGATATCGAATACTATATATATATATATATATATATATATATATATATATATATATATATATTTATATATATATATATATATATATATATATATATATATATATTGAACAATCTGTTTTAAAAAGTAAAATGCTCACTGCATTTGTACATACAGTAATTAGGGTTTACTACGACTGTAAATGACCGTTATCGCCTGTGGCAGTGTTTATACAGTAATTATCGTGACCAAGTACCTGGGGTACCTGGCTTTTCTCACCTTCGGGTGCCTTCCTCCCTTATTTTTTGTTTGGCTTTAATTATTTGTTTGCACTGAACATCGTTTAAGATCCATTATGTTTAAATAAATTTGATAATTTTGTCAATTCTCCGAGAAGCCGTAAATTCTCGGGAAAAGAGCGGATGATATTACACGTGCGATTGTTGATATGGTTGTGTTTGATTACATGCGAATACAACTGGTTGAAGGCAAAGGCTTAAAAAACTGATGTCCATCGTTGCATCAAACTACAAAATACCGTCCCGTAATACTATATAAATCTCTGATCGAACAAGTGTACTAAAATCGTAAATCCGCTCTGTTAGGAGAACTTGTCGATCAAGTTCAAGTTGATACTGTACGTAGCTCTGACGACTGATACCTGGTCGTCAAACGCGACAAAGAGTTACATTACAATTACGGAGCAGATTATTTTTTTTAAACAAACACTGTGAACAACTTATGCTTTTATTTCTTGTGTTTATCTGATAAATAAGTTGAATTTAAAAATTGTTATATTAAATTTCGTCGGGCACAAAGTGCTCATCATTATTACAACAGAAATACATTTACGGATAAGCCTCCTATCAGTGTCTACAAGACTTTACAATGTTTTACAGTCTTCAGTTTACTTGTTCATATTTATTTACACTTTTACCGAGTACCCGGGTACTCGATCGGAAAAACGTCCGAGTAACCGAGTATTGAAAATTGACCGATTTGACATCCCTAATATATATATATATATATTTTATATTAATATTAAGTGGATACAACATTAAAAAACAAAGGGCACCTTTAGTCAAAAATTATTGTTCAATTAAAATACATATTCTGTTATTTAAAATCCAGTCCTGAAAAAATCACGTTTGTAAGATGTGTGGTTTAGCTGAAATTAATTAAAATGTCAAATGCTCGGTGAAAGTAATCTGAGCTCGGCAGTTTCCGCTGTTATCGGCTGCATGACGAAAAGAATGTGAACAGATGCAGAGACAGCTTCAATGTTGTTACACTACATGGCATGTAAATAAACATGTCCTGTGATACTCACAGTGAAACAAAAAGGGGTAGAAGATGTGTAGCGGGTGGGTGTTCAAGTACACATTTAGATGGAGTGTCCCTGCACTATTTTCCATTTAAAAAGGAACCACATCTTGTACCAAAGTGGACTGCCTTTGTTAGACTTAAGAGAAAATGGCCTGAGGGCCCTACTAAATATTCCAGCCTTTGTGAATTACATTTCGATGACTCTTGTTATCCATTTGATTATCGATTCAAAAAATCACAAGGAATTCCAGTGAAGAACAAAGTTCTAAATCCTGGGTCAGTACCAACAAAACATCACCCTAGTGTTTTAGGAAAACGTGATTTGAGCTCTGTTGAGGAGGGTGAGGAGAAATCCAATGAGAGAGAGAAAAAAGAAAGGAAACGGATAAGAGGGGCATTTGTAAAACGAGAAAATTTTAGAGTAAGTAGATTTTACATTTTACACCTTAAACAAAGATGTTATTAGTAAATATTTTTAGAAGGTCTGGAAAATGTTTATACTGGTAATTCATAACAAAATATTTGAAGATGATACATGTATCTTATTGTAGATCATTACAGAGAAAACAGAAGTTCAGAATAAATCTATGCAAGAAGCTGAAGCTAGAAAATCAGAAGAAGATTCAAATTGCACAATGACTGACAATGAAATCAATGTAAGCTTGAAAATGAATAGAAATATACCATACCCTTTAAAAAATAATTAATATCTGGACTGAGTATGCATACATGTATATCCTGTTCCATAGTCTTGTATATTAATTTAATTGGGATTTTTAGAAAGGTTCAGAAGGATTTTCAAAATCAAAAGAAGCCTTCAGTCAGACAAAAAGGTCATGGAATAAAAGAAGTAAATCTAGCCAAACCAAATCTAAAACATCTACCAAAGGTAAATATAAGATGAACATTTTCTGAGACTTAAGAGTTTCAATTAATCTAATTTAAAAAAAATATTAAATTGTGAAATGGAAGTATTTTTTTTCAATCAGGGACTCAAATAAATATGTATCCTGCCCGAAGAAGTGTGGGTATACAATGCAATATAAACGATAATGAACAATCTATGAGTGATCAATTCCTAAGATACGAGGATGACATGCCAACAGAATCCTCCGACCTGGAAATTTCTTCTGATTCTGAATATCAAGAACATCCTGAAAGTGATGATTCCATGGAGTATTCCTCCGAGGAAAATGAGTGAGTTTATAGGTTGTATTTCATATTTATTTATGCTGGGAAACTCTGCATGATCAACTTTCTTTAAAAAGAGTTTTTTTTTCGTTTGCTTGTCAGAAAACCAAATGCAAGAGAAGAGAAGAAATTCATTGTGTTTCAATCCCAACTGATGAAGTTATTTCATACCTGTTCCAAATGCAAGTCTCCAGTTGTGGGGAAGATAAAACAAATAAAAGGATCATTCATTTCAGTTGAAGTGGAATGTATTCTTTGTAATTTAAAATCAACATGGAATAGTCAACCCTATATATATTGGAGAGGTACCTGCAGGAAATCTTCTGATATCAACATCAATTGTACTATCAGGGTCCATTCCAAGTAAAGCTCTCAGAATGTTTGAATTCATGAATGTTCAAGCTCCAAAACTGTCAACATTTTACAATCATCAAAAGTGCTATATACATCCTGGAATTTTTCATATTTGGAAGAATTTCACAAATTCTTATGTAGAATATGTGAAGCAACAAGGAAATCCACTGGCTCTGGGTGGAGATGGCCGAGCTGACAGCCCTGGACACTCTGCAAAATATGGGGCTTATTCAGTGATAGATCTAGATGAGGGGCTAATTGTGCACATAGAGCTTGTTCAGGTACTGTTGAGTGTTAATTCCTGATACATGTATTCTTTTCGTATTTATGTAATATCTTAATCATTTTATCCCATTTATTCCTGTGTGTTAAAATATATATGTATATATACATATATTGTAGTCAAATGAAGTCAAAAGTAGTTCCCACATGGAATTAGAAGGTTTGATTAGAACAATGGCTTATTTTTGTGATATGGAGGTAGAAATAGGCACATTAGTAACTGATCGGCATGTCCAAGTCAACAAGTGGGTTCGAGAGAACTTGCCGAATACACGTCATGAATTTGATGTATGGCATGTAGCTAAAGGTAAGAAAAACTGAAAACATCTGATTGTTTGTAAATTTTTCATTCTTTCAATCGTATTTTATACCAAATTTTAATTAATTTCAATATTTTAGGCTTAAAGAAAAAGCTTCTATCATTGTCCAAAGAGAGGGAGTGTAGCATTGTTGTAGAATGGATCAAAAGCATGACTAATCATCTATACTGGGTAGCTGCCTCATCCCCAGGAGGAAGCCCACAGCTGATGCTCGAAAAGTGGCATTCTCTTGGAAATCATCTCCAAAATGTACATGAAGGTCATGGAGAATTATACCCAAAGTGCAGCCATGGAAATTTAGAGGGACGAGAGAGAAAAAAACATTGGTTCAAATCAAGTAAGAGGATACGAGTACATGTATATCCTTGATTTATAACAAGTGGTAGAATTGTGTTAGAAGTTTTGTTTTTATTTTATTCTTTTTATTTAGGTACAAAGGCATGTGAAAAGGTACTGGAAATCATCCATTCAAAACAGTTACAAAAAGATGTTCCAAAATTATCAACAGGACACCAGACTTCAGATCTAGAAGCTTATCATTCTGTTGTCAACCACTTTGCCCCTAAAATGTACCATTTTTCATACCAGGGGATGCTAAGCAGGTAATGTATCAAGTTTACATCAAGGAAATTTAGGAAGTTATTAAAAGCATGTTGTTTATTATATATATAGCAATAAAATGCTTTACTACATTATATTTGTTCCAGACTAATCCTCTCTGCCTTGCATTTTAATGAAAATGGCAGAAAACCCCAAGACGAAACACAGGAGGGAAAAGCTAGGTACAAAATAACCTTTCCTAAATTTAAGAAAGGTGGATATACTGTGAGAGAAGTAAAATCACAAAGTACTTACGGTAAGACAACTTTAATTACATAATATTGATGCCATGTAAGAATTGTATAAAACAAATTATCACATTATTAATATTTTCATCTCCATTTTTCTTTTATAGAATATGCAGAAACAATAATGGACACAACCTTTAAAATTAGTGAAAAGGTAAAAATGAATAGTGAGATATGTGCCAAGATGACTGTAGTTCCTCCTCCGCCATTGTGCCATGAGTATTCTCATCCCGTGAAAGAAGCAGCAGTATTGGAAAAATCTAGTAGGTTCAATCAGCAAAATTAAACCCTGTGTGAGTTTCTCCAGGTTGAAGCGGGAATGTTTCTCTGATTTTTGAGACTGCACAAGATGGTATGACTACTCTGACCTTCTTGCCTAAATAGCCCCAACACCAACGTACAAACTGCCTGTAAGCTGTGTATCTATGTCGTCTGAAATTCAATAAATACATGTAAATATATCAAAATGAGATGCCATTTTGTATTAGTAATAATTTAACTAATTATGAATCTGAAAAGAAATGGGTAATAGAATTGACTTACTTTGTTGATTCTTCCAAGTTCCCTCCATATTGTTGTCGATATTGATAGTATGCAGTTCTCAGTACATGAATATCAAGACAAACTGTTCTAAACCCAGGATGATGTGTTATGCAATTAAGTGATGTGTCGGTTCTTAAAATCTCTTCCTTTACTTGTTGTATCTCTTGACAGCACCTGTTTTCGGTATTTGATGCCATGATTGTGCAGCATTGACATGAACACCTACTTGGGTATTAGAAAAGAAAAAAATTGTATAAAAAAAAATATTTGTTTGAAATTTTCTTTGTCAAAATATTTTTGACCTTAATGAAACAATTGCAACTTTGATATGTATAATTGAATTAAAAGAAAATTAAACTATTCTTCACCAGTCTGTGTTATGTGTTCTGTCTTCCTCATCAGCTTCTGAATTGTCGGATGCATCTTCATCAGAAGTTGCATAAGGCTCATATTGGTATGGGAGAATACCAAAGCCAGCATTTTCTGTCCCAATAGTATCAGAATCTGTCTCTTCATGGTCAGAAGAATCTTCACTAAGATCTTCTTTATTGTCTAATTCCTCCTCAACATCCAAATCAAACCAAATGTCATTTTCTTCTAATATTTCAATTTCATCTGTTTGTGAAGCCATGATGCTAATTGTAAAGTAAAAGGCTCTCGCGGTCACATTCGTGACGTTTCACATTCCACAGCTGATAAGAGAACTTTTGCAGCTTTCACGCTCGTGTGTTTCCGTGAGCAGGCAGAAAATGTCAAATTTTAATTGTTTTATCGGCTAAACCGCTGCAGATAAAGAGGTGCAGATTTTTCATGTGTCCATAGATAAATTACTTTTAATGATTAGTAAAAAGAAAATATTTGACTAAAGGTGCCCTTTAACCAAATGCTTGATAAAATCATTGTTCATTCTTACGAACACAGTTTCCATTCTTGGAATAATAATCGGCACAGCAGTGAGTTGGTACGTCAGGGCTACAAAATATAAAAATGTCTTCCTATTTTCTCTGTATAAAATCCGGATAAGCTTAATTTGGAGGAAAAGCAAAATCTGAAACTAGGTACATTAAACCAGATTATCATCTCTTTATGATTATCTCGTTACATGTAAAAAGAAAGGTGTGTTCCCATTTCGCCTTAACTGTGAAATACACTTTGTCAGGTAAGAAAAAGTTAAAAAGTACTTAGGCAAACGTCTTTGGCAAAATGGGAAGTTTAGTATTTGTAAATATTATTACTTGGTTGATATTAAAATTTAAATGATAATTTAAATTATAATAATGATAGATTGAATTTAATAATTAATGGGAATATATGAGTACTGTGAATTAAATAATAAGTGAAATGCCAAAAAATACTTTATGCTAAATATATTAAACTTCATCACTTTAATTCACCTGAGAGCTTACTAAGGCGAAATGGGTATGCTAAATTTTCCAGTTAAGGCGAGATGGGAACAAATCAAAAGAAATAGTACCTTGTTCAACGATTTCGTATCTCGTTAAAATAAATACGCAGTCTCGTCCTAATACGATAAGGATCTCGTAATAACGAGATTCTACCTCGTTTTTATTATCAATATTACGTATTTGTCATAACGGGATAATTATATTGTTATAACGATTTAGGTTTTTCTACCAAACTTTGCTTATTCCACTATGAACATTTACATTTTGATTGTAAGGTAAATATCAAAAACAATAATATGTACATGAACTTATTCCAGTGACAATTGTTTGCCTACATATGTACCTTACCTTCCACATATCTTCTGATTTGCCGATATCAAAGAGAATAAATTAAAACATTTTATCAAAATGTGCAGCTTTTCTAATGTGTACATTGCGGAGTAATTTTGATAGGAATGAATGTAGGATGTGAATTTATATGTTATAAAAGTCTCATTTTCAGGAAATACATACAAACATAAAAATTTCCTCGATACTTTTCAAATGGCAATTCTAAATATGATAAAAAATTATTTTATGTTACGTTTTTAATAGAAAAAATATCGAAATAAATCACCAACTGCCAGGAACAGACAGCGGATGTGACCAATCGGCAAGGGATGCTCACTTTATTCAAATACCAAAGGTTGCTTCTGTAAAAATATGACTAAATAATGATGGCTTTCAAGTTAATTGATCCCGAGAAGAAGATTTTTGAGGACATTTTCTATTCCTGTGTAGAATTTAAGCTCCCTGTTGTGTATGTGTCAACCCGCCGGGTCATGTTTTGAACAAACTTGAACACACCCGTGGAAACTTCTATATTTTAAAATATGACTGATAACACGAATAATGGATGAGCTGCTCTTGAGAAGAATATTTTAAATAATTATATTTCCTATATATTCCTATTGTAAAATTACATTCCCTGTATAAATAATTAATACCCTCTTTGTCGGTCGTAAAAGCATCGATTCTGTCTCTCGTGACTGGTTTACAATTTATTGGAATAAAAATCCCCTGAAGATTGATGTAGACTTCTACTCGTATCAATTTTTCATGCGTTTTCCAAAGACTTGTGAAACAATTCACGAACAGAGCTCTCAATGACATTTTATCGATGGATAGAAGTTAAACATTACCATTAAAATTTACTTTAGTGGATTCTCTTTGCTGACCTAGCTACAACTGGCCATTTTTATGTAATACAAGCAAGAAAGCGTTATTGCAGCCCGGAGGACCGGGCTGCTCTACACATTTAAGTTTACATGTTGGTGTATGGGGATTGAGGTGGGAGAAGTTATTCAGAATTAAAGGTTTTCTAAACACTAAAAGATTGTTAACCAGAATGTTCTTTCCTTTTATAAATTTCAAGATACATAATATATTTTCTTCCGTAAAGTGAATGAGTAAAAATATATAAGTTTCTCATATCTAATACATACAATTGCTTATCATTTAATAATTTAAAAAAAACGACAGTCCCTTTTTTTGGAACATTGAATTTTACTTATCGTATGAAAACGTACTCTACGCAGTTCGTGTTTTATTTACTCAAAGTGAAATATATTTTGAATATAGGTGATGCATGTGTCTGGTTTCAATAATTTATATTTTATACATCCAACATTTACTTGAGGAATTGATTTAGTTTAAAAGGGTATTTTTGTTCGCTTTTCCTCCGACTATAAGTTTTCAAAATATTCTCGACTATCGTCTCCATCATTTAGACGCATGCATTTTTCACACATATCAAAGCAGTTTAATGATCAAGACTCATTGTTTACTTTATTTATTTCCCGAGCGACAATTGATGGTTACATCAATGTTTTCTTGTGTATAATTTGATTTTCCTACGTTGCCGTTTATATGCACATCACATTTAACCGTCTACACCGTCTGCATCAATTTCTTTGACAAACCTTTTTCTGCCTGATATCAAAGGAATGTTCACAAACGTTTGTCAAGTCTTCACACAGCGCACGTCAAATATTACTGCTACAAGCTACTATAGTATAGGATACCTATTCTCTCTCTCTCTCTCATATAACTTCAGTATACATTCATCAAATAATCAGACTACCCCGTCAATGAAAGATTCTCGGCTTAAAAAAATAAAAATAATAAACAACATAAGCGTAATCTTTCAAGCTGATTAACCCCATATGTATTGTGCTGGCGTTACGTGGATTTGGAACTGGGGCAAAGTATTGTGGCATTTTACCCGTCAATATCAATCAAGTTAGACAATACAACACATGGTACATAGCGGAAACCACTAGGGTATATCATCTATTATGTCTCCTTTCTGCAAGGATTCAGATTATTGACAGAGCGATTTGTTGTCATATCTAGGACTTGATATAGTGCACGAAGTATTTCTTCACTTAATCATGATAGAAATAAACTTAAGAGGTACAAAGTTTTCGACCTCTTCTTCTTCAGTGCAGAACATCCTGGAAAAATTGTCAATGAGTGGTCGAGCAGAGATTTTAGCGGATGGAAGTTACTATTTGGACCGAAATCCTTTAATATTTCACCATATCCTGGATTTCTATACGGAAGGCGAATTTCATCTTCCTAGGAATAT